GTTGTAAAATATTTTGGTCAGTTGCGTGATATTTTCAGTATGAAGGTGAAGACAGTGAAACTGACCATGTGTCCGAGTCTGACAGCGGGGTCCTGGACGTGGTCCTCCACCAGTGAGTGGTAATGAGTGGAGAACAGGGTCCGGCAGCAGATCTTTTCTGACAGCTCCTGCACCACAGCGCTGGCGATGGCTGTGCCGTCATACGTGGCTGTACCTCTGCCTGCAGTTCAAGCGAAGGAAAAGGTTAGAACTGACTCAATTTAGAATTTCGCTTTTCATTTAGTGTGTGCAAAATTTAATGTGTGATGAGCAACTAAATCACCCAGTTCATCCAGCAGGACGAGGGAGTGGTTGGTGGCGTGCAGCAGGATGCTGGCTGTCTCGCTCAGCTCCACAAAGAACGTACTTTCACCTAGAAAACCAAACATGGTCTATTAAGTATCCAGACTGAAGCTCACACATGAGGGTTGAACCGATAAGAAACAAGTGGCAACGTACCTGACATTATACGATCAGAGGCGCCAAGACGAGTGAAGACTCGGTCCACGGGAGTGAGGCGCAGACTCTCAGCAGGTACATAGCAGCCCAGCTGGGCCAAAATCACCTCCAGACCACACTGAACAAGACACAGCCACATAAAACACGTTTTATAAGAGAACACAGGGTAACATCTGATAGAATGTGCATATTACTTTATTTCATTTTAACTGGGCATTAACATTTTTACGTTACATCAACGTTTAGGTCACTTCAATAGTCCTGCGGTAAGAGGAAATATTTTCAAAAGTACAAACATTCCATACAATTAATATGAGGTTAATAAATTTGTGTAGTTCTACAATATTTCCCACTCCTTTTGAACAAATTCCTTTTCATTAAAAAAAAATATATATATACTGTATATATTTTAAATAATATAGAAATGCTAATTTTATGACATTTAAAGATTTTATTAATATGTTGTTGTTATTATTATTATTATTGTTTTGTTTATTGACAGGATTTCCAGGCCTGAACAACTAAACAGACTAAAAACATGATATAGAAACCTGCAATTCCCATAAATAAGAGCT